CCATCAAGCGGCCCGACACATGCGCAAGCGTTTCTCAGTGGCGTCGACAAGCTTCAGGTGATACGCCGCGCCGCCTTTTGGAGGAATTTCATCTTTAACGCTGTTCATCTATTGCAGTGACCTTCGGAAAGTCTTCTTTTGCAACCTTTCCCCGTTCTCAACCAAGCGGAACCAACTGTGATCACGACATTTACCGGCACTGTCGATGTTGGGTGCGCACAAAGGTCAAAGCAACTCCGAATGCCCTCAGGACAACACTAAAGTCACTCAAGCCTGCTTTAGTGTCTGGACAGTGCAATGCTCTCACACCCGCTTAATGCAAACTAGCGGTGAAGCACGCTGAATACCAGCATGTCTAATCAGTCACACGTTGTCCTTATATGGCTTGACGTTTGGCTAAAACAGTATTTAACTTCACTACAGCCTTCAAATATGTTTTCTTTAAAAATAAATCAGTAAGTAAAATAATACAGGGCAGCCCGGTGGGTGACTGGTTAACGCGTCCGCCTCAGAGTGCAGATGGGCAGGATTCGATTCCGGCTCCGGCCTCCCTGTGTGGAGTTTGCGTGTTCTCCCCAAGCCTGCGTGGGTTTTCTCCGGGTACTCCGGTTTCCTCCCACATTCCAAAAACATGCATGGTAGCCTGATTGAACACTCTAAATTGTCCCTAGGTGTGATTGTGAGCACGAATGGTTGTTCATCTCTGCGTGCCCTGCGTGTGGTTGGCAACCGGTTCAGGGTGTACCCCGCCTACTGCCCGAGGACAGCTGGGATAAGCTCGAGCACGCCCCGCGACCCTTGTGAGGATAAGCGGATCAGAAAATGAATGGATGGATGAAATAATACATGAAACTTGCAGTGCTGGAATTTTATGTATCGAGCAATCAAATTTGCAAGTGACAAATATATCATTTCATATATTTCTGAACAAATTCCAAATTCTCTTCAATGTGAAGTTATAGCCCCTGACACCAGGGGGAGCAAGGCAACCAGAAGTTGTCACTGCCAAAGGCTGCGTGTCAGAATATTTGGAGTCACTGCCACTGCAGTCAATTTGCGGCAGTTATCGCGGGTGAACTGCGGTAATTAAAGTCGGCTTCAAAGTGTATTTTCACGTCGCTGTGATAACTATCCAGATGATTATCTTTGCCTGAAAGGCCACCGTGTATTCGGTATACATACAGGTTAGAACTGGTCAAAAGAACCCCTTAAAACCCAAGACACATCTCTGCGGGATATCAAATGCTGGCCCATGGAGAGTTTCACCAGGCAGGGCTAAAAGTTCCGAACACTATCTGCGAACATGGAAAGAAAGGGGGAGGTGCAAGAAAACCGAGGCAGCTACAAAATAGTGTCATTAGTTTTTATAGTTTGCTGAGGAAACCCGAAAAAGCCAGCGCTGGTAAACCATAGCCGTAATTAGATGAGAGTTGAGGGAGGGCATGCTATTTATTTGTCAGCTATGCAATGCCAGCCTTTGGCTCGAGTTCCCACACCTTGACTGTACGTGGGCCAATTCAGGACGCCTTTTGTGCGGCTTTGCAGGCGGGAGCCAAGAGATCATTTGGTGCCTTTTTATGGTGGATTGAACCTGCCCAAGAAAACACAAGACTCACACAGTTACAAGAAAACACCATTGAGCGTAATAATCCCAAGTATCAGTGCTCTGTAATTATTTCCACAAAGGATGTTATGTTTTCACTCAGGTCTCTTGGTATGTTCTTCTCCTTCTCCTTGCCTGGACCCTTTTTGAATCAAATTATATTGACCAAGGAAAAAAAAGATCATTCAATTTTGAGACGTTCTTTAACTCTGCAAGTCGGACGTGTTCGTTCTATGGAATATTGCCCTAATAGAAAGAGCAATAGTAATCGATAAATTGATTGTAAGGAATGCACTCGATTGTGTGGAATTGATTGCTGAATGGTCTTGAAGCAAGTGAGGCAAACCTGAACGCATGGCTGTCACCAAGGGGGGGGGAGGTTGTTGATTTCGTCTCACGTCATTTACATTTTAGAGGCCAACACAATCAAGGAAACTTAGTCAGAGCTGTCCCTTGTGTTTTTGTTCCTCTAAATTTAAATTCCATTTTTTTTTTTTTATGTTGCAAAAAAAAATGTGGTATGCCCATTATAGTTTGAACATTAACTTTTCATTGATATCATCAACAGACCACATCAATCATGCACTGGGAGGTGAGGTGAAAACACGGGCTGGTCAAGTTCCAGTTAAGTCAAATCATCTGCCGGAAAAAAATGTTTTTTTGTTTTTTTTTTTTTTGCCCTGATAAAACCATCCTAAGTATCAAGAGCTTTTTTTTTTGTTTGTCCCTGCATGCAAATGATTCATGACTTCCTCCTTCAGTTCTCTCAAATAACCCCCACCCCACCCTTCACCTTAGTTGTACATTTATTCGGAGAGTGACTAATCAAGTTCAGTGAAGCGTTTCAAGAACGTGTCCTGCTGCTGGAACAGAGGCCAATATTAGCTTCACTTCAAAGCCGTGGCCTGCCCTACCCCGAGGTTAGAGTAGCTTCAGGCAAGGCGTTCGCTGGTATAGGTCAGCATCATCTGGCCTGGAGTGTTTTTTTTTTTCCGGGAGTCCAAACCTGAAATCTTTCACCGATAAAAGGAGATGACTTCGGCGTGAACGGTTGGCTGATTACTGTCCTGGAGCTCCAAATGGTTATTCTACGATTGTTGTTATTTAAATGTTGTCGTTGACCGATTTCCAGATGAATCGTTGTTCAAACAGTTCCTTTCAAGGAGCTGTTGTGAGCCCTGTTGTCACTGTTGTCAAGGGTGGTGGGCCCACCCCCCATTATCATACGTGGTTAGTGTAGTTTTGAATTCATGCAACCATTTTGGCCGGAAAACACCCACAACAGAATTCTGTCTGGGCAAAATCCGGTCTCCAATCCGAACGTATATTGACAAATGATATATCCTCCCCCCCTCCTCCTGCCTCACACACTTGGTTTTGTGTTAATGGGAGACCCTCGCAGGTGGAGGTCTCCTCTTACACAAACACCAGCCTGCGATTGCCTCCACTTCGGGCCGGTAAAGTAATAAATGATGACCGATCGGGTCACACAGTAAATTCTGTCGTGCCGCTTGATGGATAGCTGTGTCGTGGTTGCAGTCTGAGCCGGTAGGTTTCAAACTCACCAGGAGAGCTTTCGTCTGTCTGAAAACTGAATAGAAAGTCTCTCTGGGGCATTTCGTCGGGGAAGCATCACCCTTTGACATTTGGATTTTTTTTTTTTCTCCTCACTCTTCAGATCAAAATATCATTACGATTGAATATTAAATTTTGTTTTGGAAGAATATGGGTGGGTGGCTATGAGAGGTGTAAAAAAAAAAAAAAACGGACAATCGATTTTGATTTGAGGAATCAAATGGTTCCATTTTCAAATGGTAGATCCTTTGAATCTTTAATGAGAGATGCACAGCAGATATAAATGGGCCTGATGTTGCTGATGATTAGTTGTTTCTTTGAATTTAATTAACTCGGATAGTTTGGGCTTTGGGGAGCTTTTACATGTTGCATATTAATAAATATGACAAAAGCTACAGCATATCATATTGAATACATTGATAGATTTTTTTATTTTATTATTGTTATTTTTTTTTGAGAATCGAAATCTAATCGAAGAGCCAGAATCGTCATCGTCCAAAATCAAGTGAGGCCCAACCCTCCATCATGATTTCCAAGCGTGGTACCTCTCACCACCACAGGCAATCACGTTGACCGCCTCCAGGTAGCAGTGTGTAAGAATTGACAAGACTTAAATAAACAGCACATACTTTTTCAGCCGCGGTGACCCCCACTAACAGACGTATTGTTGCATGCACCAAAACTAATCGTTCATGAATAATAAAATACGGGCGGACACCCGATTCCTAACACCCTCGTACTTACTAAAGCTGGGGGTCACCGACCTTTTTGAAGCAGAGAGCTACTTCTTGGGGACTGATGAATGCGAAGGGCTACCGATTTGATACACATTTCTAGGATAACAAATTCCTTTTTACTAACGTGACTGTTATCGTAATAGTAAACGTTATTCATGAATATGAAGATGTTGATGACTTCTCATCGTAATTTAGGAAGCAGGTGAATATCAAAACACAGCATTTTTTTTCTATAAACCTCTGCCGATGTTCATATTTTCAATTCATCCCTTTTGCAACAATCCTAGGAAATCACGATGCCCCATCATTGGTTAACTATTTGTTAGTCCGCGGGTTACTCATACAAAAAGACTGCCTTTGTTTTGTATTTTCTTTTTTTAAAATTTTTTTCTGTCAAGTGAAATCGAGAGACTTTTTTTTTTTTTTTACGGTAGCCAATTTATGTTAAATGCAATCCAAAAAAATATATTTTTTAACAAAAATAAATATGACGAGTCAATAAGGTCATTTTTAATAAAAACAAGTGTCCTTAAGTGTCACAATTAAAAATTGATCTTCCACTACAGTGGGTGTCATTCTGATGTGAAGCAGGGATGAGCGCTATCTGCTCCCGTAACTACTAAAATAACTTGTCATCTAACTTAGTCACTTTTAAAACCAAGTAATCAGGAAAGTTACGTTTTTGCGGTAACTGTGGCAACACCGTTCTCCGTGTGCTACGAATATATCATGACAGTTTGCCTTGGCTGCAACATATGCTGGAGGTGCAGTGCTGAATCTGATGGCCTGTGGTCGTTTTGCATTAAACTGTCTTAAAACACTGCCGACTTCTTTGCCGGATGGACTTAACACTTGCGGGACTCTTAAATGAGTCACTTGACTTCAAACGGCATCGCTTTGAATCGTGTCTTAAACTAAACCGATTCTTTTTGAACGAACATATTTGAAGCTTTAAGTCAAGAGTTGATCGACATCTTGCTACATTAGAACGGGAGTCGCAAGCGGAGTTGTTAATGAATGGCATTTTTCCGCAACGCAAACTAAATCATTTTTGTGGCCACTATAAAAAAAAAAATAAAAAAAAAAGTCCCTCTCCTGCAATAAAAGCCGTGCGATATTATGTTCGTTTCTGCCGGGCTGCGATGTAAATCCACGCTGTCTGCTGCGATTCACTGCGCCACATTAAATTCCTTCAGATCAATTCAACTTCCCAGCTCACTTTACAAACCGCCAGCCATAACGTTGGCTCCCCCTCACCCCTCAAGAGGGGGAACACTCTTATGAGGTAGGCGGCACGCGGTGCTCGGCAGGATCAACGGAAACCTTCGCCAACTTCCCGTCGAGATATGCCAAATAACTGAGGGTAGCGGATTTAGAATTTTATGCACCCGAAATTAGGTTACTGTGCGGGTTGGGAATCTTTGGACGAGAACAGCAATCGCTGATGAATCCTTGAGGGTTTTAATCCCATTTTGCTGTCTGCTTTGCACAATTCGGCAGCTTCATGTCAGGATGGCTCTTGGTCTCTGCGCCTTGTCAGGATTCCGACGTTTTTATTTTTAGAGATGAGATGATCTGGGAGAGAACAGGTGGACTTGGGCCTCTGTTGACAGACAGCAGTTGGATTGCCAGCCCTGCTGCGTGGAGATGTCATTACATTTCGATAATGTCTGATGAAAAAAAAAAAAACATATCCCCCGTCCTGTTTCGCCCGGCTAATTGCACTCCATATGTTGTACGCATTACACGTCCTCCGCGCTATTCTTGTCAAGGTCATTCGCACTCTCTTAGTTTTCACATTCACAGACCATTAATGCTTTAACAAGCTGTAAGCCATATTCAAATATCAATTATTGTTTAGTATGCACTCCCATTGAAACTACAGCACAGGGGGAGGGGGCTTGGGGGTGGGGTGGCTGTTATTGCCAAGCTGAATAGGGACCAGGTGTCCACCCGGAACATAATGGGACGTATATGGAACTTTTTTGGGGTCCGTTCAGTCATTTCCCCTCCCAACAACACCCGCGGAGACTTGAAGAGGTAAGGTGCGTGCTGAAACCGGCCTAAGTAAATTCCCTTTATGACACTGCTGTGACATGTGCATCTGTGATTTCACACACATAATGTGAAATTTACAGTTGCGGGATTGAATGTCACGCGGGCTGTGATGAGAGCAGGGGGTAACCGGAGCCCCCGGAGAACAAAGCTGGCGTTTTGGCCTTGCCCCCCCATCGGCCCCCGACCACTCCCCCACCCCCGATGCGCATGCCTCCCCGGCCGCCACCCCGCCCTGTTGCTCTTTACAGCTGTGGAGGTGTGATCCGGGCACGACGCTTAGTCGTATAACAGTTAAGCGAGCGCCGTGGCGCTTCTAATGGGCAGAATTCCTAATGACCAAAACACCTGGAAGTACGGCAGCGCAGGCCGACTGAGATTTTAAATCTCAAGAGAGCCCGATGGGCATGAAGCAAAGCGGTTGGGTCCGGAACAGAGGCTGCTCCTGTTCCCGTGTCCTAAACGAACAATCGCGTCATTTGAATGAGCGTATCTTTCGGCTTTGCTGTGGAGGCGTATGCCGGATGGTCACGTTGGGAAGAGAGAGGCCCGCGCTCCCTTGAAGTTAAAACCTGGATTAGGCACGCTCGTCCCTCGGTGTCATGTTCAATAGCGGACCTTACCCCCCGCAAATTGATCCCTCACACTCCCCAACAACATTAATTCAGATCTACATAGATTATGAGCCTATAAACTCAAGTCAATTGCGCCAATAACTTGAGAGTCTCACATTATATAGATCCATCGTGAATGAACGGATTGTCTTACATTGCCAAGACTCCAGTTTTAGTGTCAGTAGCGATTTGTGGTTGATGATTTCTCCTTTGAATGGAGGCTGCGTCTACTTTTACATTGTTTGCTGGTGATTTTACAATACTTTGTTCATGTTAAAATTATATTTTTTTAACGATGGCATCAAAATATCAAATTTGAATAGATTTTGTACGAAATTATTTTTACCGTACATTTAAAATGCAACATTTTTGCCCCCAAAAATGTTTTGTGAATAGTCGGTATATATTGCAGTGGGGTGGACATTACATGCAACTATGCAAATGAAAAAGGGGGCAACTTGGCGTGACTTCTTGCGCAATTAAACACATTGTTCATTTTACGTAGTTAAAAAAAAAAATCTGATAACCATTGTCTACGACAGGAAACAAATGACAGATATTAGATTAAAAATAAGTACTTTTTTCACAAAAGTCACTCCAAGTTGTTTATTAGATTTGCAAAAGAAAGAATGCGAAAGGAAGCTATGCATCTCAATACATACATCGAGGAGAAGCGTTTTCACCGCCTTTTCTCTCCATGCTACATGTTGACATCGTTTTAAAGCAGTTGGAGTATAATATTATCTTCAAAGCGTTGATTCACTCATAATTTATTTAAAACAGCAATACAAATTTCACAAGAATTATCTTTTCATCTTTTCGTTTTTTTTCCCTCCCATTTTTACAATCAGCTCCTCTTGATTTAATTCAGGTACTCTTTAGAATTACTTCTTCCCACATTGTGCCCACTTTTCTTTGTTTGCATTTCGGTTCACTGATGGATGGACTTCACTTCAGACCGAGCTACCTACTCTACCAATAAGCTGGCAACACCTGGTCAAAACAAGCCTTGTTTTCCCATTCGCCACCTAAAGAAAAAAAAGTATCTGTTATTCCACCGGCGAGTTGTAAAGCTGCAATAAAATGGTGACATGGCCCCTGTGCACGGCAAGCGTTAAGACTTAATATACTTTAACTGTTCCTTGTTTTGATGTCCCATATGCGGTGAGATTTACAAGCCAAGTCAGAGTATGTTTGAAAATTTAAAGCCATCTAAAATAATGGAAAAGATGGGAAGAAAAAAAAACATTTGGTTTGAAGCAAATAGACTTACAGTGCTTGCTAAAATGCAAAGTTTCAGCTACAACTGCCTGACGTCAATTGTCGTTTTTTTTATTTTTTTACCCCCACCAAATCATTTAAAGTGTGTGTGTGTGTGTGTGTGTGTGTGTGTGTGTGTGTGTGTCTATCAATCTAGCTAGCTAGCTATCGAGCTATTGATCTATCTATCTAGCTAGATAGCTAGCCAGATAGCTATTGATCTATTTATCTAGATTATATGAGAGAGAGAGAGAGAGAGAGAGAGAGAGAGAGAGAGAGAGATCCACACACACTGTTTTTTACGTTGGTAAAAGTAAATGAACGTAAAGCAGTACTCTGTATTGTCTATCTTTCGTTCATTTGTCCCGTCGTCATGTAAGAGTTCACACCATGGTTGCGATGTATGCAACATGTTAAAGGGACTGATCAGAGCGCTTGCACACGCAAGTACTTGTGTAACACAGCTCGTCACTCCAAAATTGTAATGCTTACCAGCTCTTACAAATTTCACGACAGCAAGAAAGGAAAGGTCTTCCTCCGCCACAACCTTCTCAAGACTCTTTCGAATGAGATCCAAATGTGCCGGGCGAAATGCGTTTGGTTGGACTGATGTAACTTTACACTGCAGCCACATCATGCGAAGTTGTGGTTGAAACAGATGTCTAAACACACACAACAGTGTTGACAGGCTGAGGCCCAATGTTTACCGGTGCAGGGAATGATGCTGCTTGTGGGGGAAAAAAAAAGTATGATTGGAAGTATTCTACAAGTACACCCCCTCGCTGCCCATCTTTAAAACTCGTCTTAAAACAAATTTGTATTCTTTGGCTTTTGACTCAGCACGAGATGTGATTTTTGGTTTGACTGTTTTTGTGCTTTCTACTGTCGTTGTTATTCATTTATTGTTTTATTGTTTGTTGTTGTATATTTTGCCGCATGTCCAGCACTTTGTAGACAACGGCGATGCTTTTAAAGTGCTCGAGAAATACAGTTGAGTTGAGATGTGGATCAACCTTGTGCTGATCAGAGGTTGACTGTTTTTATGCATTTCATTTTGTGGCCACTCTATTTTTTTTTGGATAATTCACGTAAATCTTTATTAATTTTAATTACAAGTCAGTTGTATTGCCCCAAAATTTCTCAGGTTTAACAACTGCAAGAGTAAAGAAGTTTAAGGATTTGGGCCAAAATTTAAAGGGTACTTTAGTTCATCGGAAGTGGTTATCTCCCCCCTTACCTCCAAATAAGAGAACACTGGAAAATGATTTTTTAAATGTCAAAATTCACCAAATATGGTTGGTAGTGATGAGGTTTGTGAGAGAAAAATGTGCATCAATGTGTTCATCCGTCTTCCCCCATGATGCACGAATACCTTCCTCCAGGACCGCATGCCACCAACGTCGCAGACACATTGCACTCAGAGAATTTAGTTTTTGCGCAAAATGCTACATCTCGAGGGAAATAATCCACCCGGTGAACGTGCTGTGGTGATAACTGAATTTCATGACATCAATTTAATTTCGTGACATTTGTCAAGCATCCCCAAACGCTCTAACACCGTATTCACCGCAAAATTAAGAAAATTCTGTTCCGATAGACCTCACCGTATAAGAAGTCAGGTAAAAATAAAAATAAAAAATCCAACTGACATTTTCATTTCAGAATTCCCAGCCATATTAAAACCTTCCAAATTAATGGCATCAATGACGCTAATATTGTTAGTTTGTGTATTTTCTGATTGGAAGACATTGCTCGTCTATTCTTCTTCCAACATTGGAGAAATTCCATTCAAAATTTGCAATCCTGGACGTGGAAAATGATCCATACATATAATCACGGTAATCAACACAGATGATGCTGTGCGTGATGAGGTCCGAAATATTCAGTAGAATATGCAAAAATAATAATAAAAATAATTAGCCGCTCGGTACACCTCCAATTGTGGAGTATTATTTCTTATTATTTTTCATTTCACTTCATCTGACTCGGTGTCTTACTTTCCAGAACAAGCATCATCACAACAGCTGTCACTCCCCATTAAATGTGGTTTTCCTGTTGCGTCCGAAAAGGAAATGGATATGGAGAGAAATGCCCTTCACTATCAGCTCGGCCGTGATTCGGTAGAGACACTCTCGCCGCAGTCAGCATAAATTGGGCTCGACATGGGCAGTTTTTTGCTTTTTCGCAGAACTTCCCTCCAGCTGTGGCCTGTTCACACCTCATTGTCTCCGTACACCTCCGCGCACACTGGTAATCAGCGGTCTCTCGACTTCATTTCTCTCTGCGGCGCTCGCAGCCTTTGCTTGGAAGGAAGTTTCACAATTCAACTTGTGTGGCCAACCCCAGAAAAGAGGCCGAGTCCAAAGTCTTTGCGTTAACTCGATCCAACCAATCCTCGGTGCGAGGAAGACTGTACGAGACAGGACAACGGTGTGGAGACACACCAGACGAGAGAGAAATCCGATTTATTATCGCCCTAAAATGAAGTGCAGATGTGAGCTGGCGGATTCTTCCTTCTGCTGCCAATTATAGATGCTCACGCAAAGATCTGCCTGCGAGAGAGCTCACACATAGCGGACCGCATGTGCATGCGCCATGCTTGAAACGGATCAAATCCTGAGCCGTGTTTGGGCTGCGAGTTTAATTTTCTGATTATTTTTCGCTGCCCGCGAGGAATCATGATGATGTCCTTCAAAAAAAAAAAAAAAAAACAACAAAAAAAACAAAACATTATTTTGTGATCTCGAAAGTAATTTCAATGCCTCCAGCTTTTTTCCCATCCTGCTCATTGTTCCACCGTTGCCGTCATTATGTGCTATTTCAAGTCGTTACTGTAATCACCAAACCGTCCTCTGGATTTAGCCTAATCTGTCAAGATTTCAGAGGGGGATTTCATTGTTTAGAGAGAGGAAGATTTGAACTGGATAATGGCGCACATAAATCATGAAGGAGATTCAGGGATGAAGCGCCGTTTCATCCGGCATTGTGTTGTTTATGCACATCATCGCAGAGTCAGGGAAAAATGCTCTTGAATCGATGCTCCCATTTCTTCGCGTAAACAAGACATTAACATCATTTCAAGATTTAGACTTGATTTGGCGCCAGAACCCCGCAACTCCCTTCGAGTGGGATCCGGCATTTCTCCCATATTGATGACTCATCCGACCACGTCAGTTATCCTAATGATAATCAGTTTTCAGACCAAATTGTTTTTGGGAAAATCAACCAGCCTGTCAGCTGGACAAATTCGATTGTTCCAGGATTGAGGCGGCATGCGCAGCCATTTTACAGCATCGCGAATGCATTTGGACACCTTTTAACGCGCTTTGCCCGCCTGGTAGATGCCGCGACATCAATAGTGAGGACTCTCGGGAGGGTTATCCCGTCATTTTTAACTGTTTATTTTAAAATTAATGTGAAGTTTGTACAGCTATGCTTCACATTTTACTGTGTGGGGGAAATTTGGTGTAGGTTTGACGAGTGTTCTCCCAAGAGACGTTTCATTGACTGATTTATTAATTGCCCGGACTCTTAAAGTGTCACCGCTTCCCCCATGTGTTTATTTTAAGTTGCGTTTTACACGACCGTGATCCCTCTACTTCAAATACTCCGTATTTCTTCTGAGATGCCGACAGACCCGCACTTCTTGGAATCCAGACGACGTCGGCGTCTCATGGAAAGCGAGTGAATCAATTTCCAAACTCAAATTCAAACTGCTGTCAATTAAGCCTTTATTCGCAATGTTTAAACATTCGAAATGGTCATAGAAGTGTGAAAAATAAGTTTAGCGGTGTGCAATAAAAATAGAAAATTGTGTTTTTTTTATCCTTTTGATGCAAGTTTGTAACAGGAAAGTCAGCAGGGATGCTAGCTGTGATATTTACTAAATTGTGCTTTTATTGTTCTTAAATGGCATCCAAAAGGTGTTTAAAAAAATACATCCAGTGTCCTCAATAGTAAAGATTAATTCATGTACCATGTTCCACTGAGAATCAAATTTGACGGCCGGGCTATTTTCCCGCAATTTAAATGTTGCGGCATCTGATCGAGCTTCATCCGCCAACCTAATTAATATGCTTCTTTTAAAAGCACAATGGAAAAAAAAAAATCTCCACCATTTCAAAAAGTTATTTTTATGCACGGCATTATCACAATTATTTACTGCTTCAGTCATTTAGCGCGGATGCATTTTTTTTTTCCTTGTAATGTTTTTAAACCGTGATTAATGAGCAGTGCGTTTTGGCTTCATGAAGGATGACTGTGCCTGAGCGTTGCGTCCAGCCTCATGATAAATGTGGCAAAGTGACGACACAACATGGCCGACCTCATCAGAGGTTAATATGTTGGTTTACACCAAGTTAATGATTCGTCGGGCAACATAAAAATAAAGTGCTTCCTCATTAGTCTGTTTATGAGAGCGCTTTCATTTTGATAGACGACCTCGTGCTGCTAGCTAGCGTGGCTAGCCCGAATGTAAATATCTCTCGGCGTCCAATGCTCACACCGACTGAACAACTTGTGAAAATATTTACAGGATGCCCTAAATATTAAAACTCAGACAGGTTTCGGCTGTGTTTTTATTGAATGATAATTCGGTGCATTAACGCCAAGCTTTTTCATCGAGTGTCAGGCATTTGGGCGTACAGTATTTGGTGAGGGGCAGTTACTATGTGTCCACTTGTTACGGGAAAGTCAAAAATGTTAGAGAGAGGAAAGAACGATATGCAGGGTACAATAACTTGAAGTTTGCAAGCGGCGAGTCTATAAGTACCGTGGCTTGCGATTATCACCCGTGATAAGGTTTGTTGGCGTCATAGCATCTTCTCCTTTGTACAAAATGATGACGATTCTCAGCAGTTTAACAACAGCCTCTCCTCTAAAAGTCACCAGTCGTCGCCTCCACGGCAGCCAGTAAGCATCATGAAAATGAAATGAAGACGAGTAGCATTGAACAGGAGAAGTCCGGGGTTAAGCTATCAGTAAACGTCGTCACAAAATGCCGGAGCATTTTTTTTTTTTTTTTTTGTATTTTTAATCAATTCAGCTTTGCTAAATGACCATCCAACCTGATATTTCTGTGATGTGCCATTCTGTACACTGTCGTGACATCATATATTTAGCAATTCACTGCCTCAACGTTATACTAAATAAATCAAAACTGGGGGGGGGGGACCCCAAAAGGAAAACAAACGTGATTCAAAAATATTCCAGAAAAGAAAATGTAATGAAAGTCAAAAGAAAAAAAAAAAATCTGGTGGCGCGTTTGTCGTGTCGGCTGAGACGTAAATGTTCCTGACCAAACCAAAGTGTTCCTGAGAATATTCCTGAGAGCTTGTGATCGATGTTGGATCTCTCATTATGTACAATAATTTTAAGAATAAGGACTTCAGCGTTCACTTTGTTCGGCGTGCTGTTTTAACTGGGTGCCCCTCATTAGTTTGACATTAGCAACAATCAAACGGGCTGTTTTCAAGTGTAGGAAATCATCAAGGTCAGTATTTACTTTGCGCAGCCTAGTTTGTGCCATTAGAGCACCTCAGCGCTAATAATTATTTCCCCCAAGTTGATATTACAAGAGCATTTAAAAGCTTTGAGGCCCTTTGACTAACTGGTATTAACTGCCGTCAGTCAGGCTCCACTCATCAAGCAAATAAAGCGGATTATGAAGATACGAG